AGCATCTCGAGATAACATTTGTTATGAATTGGCGCTATACAAATAATGATAGATTGATTGATTTTCAAAATCTAAATCAGCTTTTTTAGCTGTGTGTGTCAACGTTGCTCAATAACAAACATCCTGTTGCCGTTTCCACTGCAATGCACTAGCCCCTTTTCCCTTAACCCCCCCATCTCCACTCTCAATGTTTTGATCAGAATACACAACATTAATATTTTAAGAATCTTTTTATTTCTTTATTATAACAATTTCAGTTGGTTCAATTAAAGATTGGACATAATTTGTCTTCATTTTTCTTTTCCTTTTTCACACAACGCTGTAAAGAGAGAGACAAATGAATTGATTAAGTTCTGTTTGAAATCACAAATCTCCATTTCATTATTTAATCAGACCTGTTTGAAGGTTACTCACTGTCTTTGGGGTCATAGATGAAGTCTGGTTCTCCTGTGAAACCAAGACACCTCGCCTGCTTCATGGCATGTGCCAGTTCGTGGTGCTTGATATCGTTTTCTTTAGCTGGAAACAGAAATGTAAAATAGATTAAAATGAAGAAATGTTTCAAATATTAAAGGAGTTATTTTCTTTTCTGTTCTTCTTACCCATGAGGTAAAATGCCCGATAGCTTTCGACCTCTGCAATGGTTTTTGGCTCATCAATGTTCATAATGTGGATTAAATTATTGTTGGTTCTGCTGTCGACCGTGTAGAGCAGACATCCCTCACAGGTTGGCAGGGAATGGTACGTGCAGGTGAAGTTGGACTCTAACAGGAAAAAACAAAACCATTAAATCCCAAGCAGACATTGTTTGGCTTGCTCCTAGACTGGATTGAAGGCAGATACATTTACCGGAACTGCAGAACAGTAATGTTTACGATAGTTTCAGAGTCAACAGTCATGCTAGCAGCTCTGTTGGTCTGAGAGTAATGAGCTACATGCTACAATCAGTACGGTTACATGCTCCCTGTCTAACAATGTTTTATTGTAAAAAAGTAGCATCCTGTATCATCATATGTTAAATTTTGAGTTTGTTTTGTACTTTTTCTCGTGTATTTGTTTTATTGTTATTATTATGTTTATTAAAATGTTTGTGATGCCCATTCTTGGGCCACTGAAAATCAGCCACTGCTGTTTCATACTGCATCATATCTGACATCACATAAACCCTTCAGGTATATCAAGGCAATAGGACAATATAAACAAGGTGAGATGAATCTGAAACAGGGTCTGTCCTGGTGGACTTTGCAACATGTCCTCTGACTTTAACGTCTCCATTCATTTTTGTTCCTAAACTCTCATACAGCCAAAGGCAGAGTTTTCTAAATTAGCACCCCTACAACTAGCAGCAACAAGTCCTCAAACCTAAACCTTTTTAGGAGACAAACAGTTGGAAGATGTGTTTGACATTTTTGATTGGACAAACTCATACACTGACTAACAGGACTAACATAAGCACCAGTATGATAGCAGATCAGCAGACTTACTGTCGGTTAGTGCAGAGTTGGAATGGATAGTTACAGGGTGTGATCCGTACTTGCAATGTGTAGGACTAAAATAAAAAAGAACGGATAAAAGATCAGTTCAGACATGTCATTCAAATTCAAATATTTTGTTAGAAAAATGATTTCTATATGTTTACATTCCTCTTATCATAGTGATGCAGAACCTGTGACCTATAAGCTTAGACCTCAACCTTGTAAGAAGAAGAATGTGGGACGACATTAGGCTGTTTTTAGCCAACATCAAATCAACATAAAGAAATAACTGCAGATGGTCGTTATAGGCTCCTTGTGTTAAGATATGTTTGATATCTAGAACATCTAATGTGTTCAAGGCAAATTCTCTCCTCCAATGCTTGCATATTTAAAAAGATATGTAACATAATTGTACAGCTGATATTGTACTGCTGATACTCACTGCCTGATCCCAATATCCTGAACAAATTGCTTGTGGTCTGGTGATGTCTGAATGAAGTCAATCCACTGGCTCTTGGTTGTCTTGAACAACTCTCTATGTGGATCACTAGTAATCCAGCCCATGATGAAGATCCACCTTCCGTAACTCTGCAGAAAAACAAAAAGTCAATGAGGTACACAAAAATATCAGTAATTAATTTCAACATAGCTGAATGGTGAACTTAATTTGCAATTTGCTCAAACCTTAATCAGGGGTATCACTGACTATCAAATGTCAAAAATGTCAATCTTAGGGGAAAGTATCTGAGCCCAGGGTATTCAATCTTATACATCAGCATTATGCAAAACTGAAAAAGGTACCTAAAAACCTGCGAAAAATTATTCATGCTAATGCTAACCTAAAGACCCAGGAGGGAAGTAGAAGCAGCTTACCGGTTCAAAAGTTGGAAGAGGTGTGATCAGAGGTCTGCATTCCTCAACTGTTTGAGCCGAGCTGCTCAGGAACAACCCAGCCACCAGGAAAAGACTGCTGAACAACAGATTCATGATGCTACAAATGGTTAGCTTCAGTTTACAACTTGAAGAAAAACAACAAGCAGGAAGCTCTGACAAAGCTGAATGACTGATCCTCACAGAGCCACTCAGCCTTTATAGAAGTTGCTTATGGCAGAGTTCCAAGTGTCCTGCCTTTTTGACTCGTTATATTATAGGAATTTAAAATAAATAATTATTATCGTTGTTCCTTGGAGTTGGTCAGACAATATTTGACTTCAACCTTGTCTTCCTACAGTTACAGTGGAGGTTCTAGGTGTCCTGTGTTTGTAGGGTTCCTAAGGACACTTCAGTTTGCACATCAAACATTAAATATGTGTTGACTTGTCCTTAGCTGCCCCTAAACACAATACACACAGAATATGTATCGTTAAAATTAAATAAAACTTCTCCAAGTAAGCTCCAACAAGCCTCTCATTAGCAGCTAGTTAGCTGACTGAAGCCTGGTTCACACTAAAACGTTTTTAACATCCTTCAAACAAAAACATAATGTAGAAAATGTGGGATACCGAAAACATTTACATAAATAATGATAGATTAAACAGTTTTGTACCTATAATGTGTGTGTAGAGCAGTGATATGACCAGAACTGCACACCACAAACTAACAGATTATATTCATGGCCAACCAGAGTCCAAATATGAAAGTTGGGAATCTCGCAAAATGTCTCTACACATTTTATGCATGGTCTAATTCCACTTTAGCAAACTAAATTGTAAGAATGGTTGTTTATTGTTTTTGGACTACTTTTACCTACAGTCTCTAAATGTACTATGGAGGCAGAGCCTTCAGTTATCAGGCCTGCTCATGGTACCTACAGTCTCTACTATGGGAGTAGAGCCTTCAGTTATCAGGCCTGCTCATGGTACCTACAGTCTGTACTATGCAGCCTTCAATCAGCTCATGGTACCTACAGTCTCTACTATGGGAAGTAGAGCCTTCAGTTATCAGGCCCCTCTCCTTTGGAATCCAGAGCTCCCTTGTGTCGTTGGTTCCTCTGGATCATTGGTGTGGACGGCATGCTGACATGCGCCCCTGCGACTCTAACTGCTACAACTATTAATATCAGCCTAACATCTCCTTTAACATCTACTGTATAATTAACACAATCAGTCCTCCCGTTTCATCATCATTACAGTTGCTGAAGTTAATATTAGACTAATCTGGCTCTTATCACACTTAGCTGTTGTTGCTAATTTTTCTGGGCTCTGGTTGACCATTATATAATCTGTTAGTGTGTGATGTACTGTTTATAACTTGACATTGCTATCCACAACTAAAGGAACAAAATAGTTTCATCATTATATTTCTACATGTTGGAGGTCTCACACATTTTCTACATACGTATGTTTTTGTTTGAAGGATGATAAAAATCTTCTATCTAAACTACATGTTCTCTTTGTATTTGTGTTTTGGGGCAGCTCAGAAAAGTCAACACATCTGATGTTTGATGTGCAAACTGAAGTGTCCTTAGGAACCCTACAAACACAGGACACCCTAGAACCTCCTGTTTAACTGTAGGGAGACAAGGTTGAAGTCAAATATTGTCTGACCAACTCCAAGGAACAACGATAATAATTATTTATTTTAAATTCCTATAATATAACGAGTCAAAAAGCCAGGACACTTGGAACTCTGCCATAAGCAACTTCTATAAAGGCTGAGTGGCTCTGTGAGGATCAGTCATTCAGCTTTGTCAGAGCTTCCTGCTTGTTGTTTTTCTTCAAGTTGTAAACTGAAGCTAACCATTTGTAGCATCATGAATCTGTTGTTCAGCAGTCTTTTCCTGGTGGCTGGGTTGTTCCTGAGCAGCTCGCTCAAACAGTTGATGAATGCAGATCTTTGATCACACCTCTTCCAACTTTTCAACCGGTAAGCCTCTTCTGATTCTCTCTGATTAAGCCTCTTCTGATTCTCTCTGATTAAGGTTTGAGCCAAATGCAAATTAGTTCAGCATTCAGTTATGTTGAAATTAATTACTGATATTTTTGTGTACCTCATTGACTTTTTGTTTTCTGCAGAGTTACGGAAGGTGGATCTTCATCATGGGCTGGATTACTAGTGACCACATAGAGAGTTGTTCAAGACAACCAAGAGCCAGTGGATTGACTTCATTCAGACATCACCAGACCACAAGAATTTGTTCAGGATATTGGGATCAGGCAGTGAGTATCAGCAGTACAATATCAGCTGTACAATTATGTTACATATTTTTTAAATATGCAAGCATTGGAGGAGAGAATTTGCCTTGAACACATTAGATGTTCTAGATATCAAACATATCTTAACACAAGCAGCCTATAACAACCATCTGCAGTTATTTCTTTATGTTGATTTGATGTTGGCTAAAAACAGCCTAATGTCGTCCCACATTCTTCTTCTTACAAGGTTGAGGTCTAAGCTTATAGGTCACAGGTTCTGCATCACTATGATAAGAGGAATGTAAACATATAGAAATCATTTTTCTAACAAAATATTTGAATTTGAATGACATGTCTGAACTGATCTTTTATCCGTTCTTTTTTATTTTAGTCCTACACATTGCAAGTACGGATCACACCCTGTAACTATCCATTCCAACTCTGCACTAACCGACAGTAAGTCTGCTGATCTGCTATCATACTGGTGCTTATGTTAGTCCTGTTAGTCAGTGTATGAGTTTGTCCAATCAAAAATGTCAAACACATCTTCCAACTGTTTGTCTCCTAAAAAGGTTTAGTTTGAGGACTTGTTGCTGCTAGTTGTAGGGGTGCTAATTTAGAAAACTCTGCCTCTGGCTGTATGAGAGTTTAGGAACAAAGATGAATGGAGACGTTAAAGTCAGAGGACATGTTGCAAAGTCCACCAGGACAGACCCTGTTTCAGATTCATCTCACCTTGTTTATATTGTCCTATTGCCTTGATATACCTGAAGGGTTTATGTGATGTCAGATATGATGCAGTATGAAACAGCAGTGGCTGATTTTCAGTGGCCCAAGAATGGGCATCACAAACATTTTAATAAACATAATAATAACAATAAAACAAATACACAGAAAAAGTACAAAACAAACTCAAAATTTAACATATGATGATACAGGATGCTACTATTTTACAATAAAACATTGTTAGACAGGGAGCATGTAACCGTACTGATTGTAGCATGTAGCTCATTACTCTCAGACCAACAGAGCTGCTAGCATGACTGTAGACTCTGAAACTATCGTAAACATTACTGTTCTGCAGTTCCGGTAAATGTATCTGCCTTCAAGTCAGTCTAGGAGCAAGCCAAACAATGTCTGCTTGGGATTTAATGGTTTTGTTTTTTCCTGTTAGAGTCCAACTTCACCTGCACGTACCATTCCCTGCCAACCTGTGAGGGATGTCTGCTCTACACGGTCGACAGCAGAACCAACAATAATTTAATCCACATTATGAACATTGATGAGCCAAAAACCATTGCAGAGGTCGAAAGCTATCGGGCATTTTACCTCATGGGTAAGAAGAACAGAAAAGAAAATAACTCCTTTAATATTTGAAACATTTCTTCATTTTAATCTATTTTACATTTCTGTTTCCAGCTAAAGAAAACGATATCAAGCACCACGAACTGGCACATGCCATGAAGCAGGCGAGGTGTCTTGGTTTCACAGGAGAACCAGACTTCATCTATGACCCCAAAGACAGTGAGTAACCTTCAAACATGTCTGATTAAATAATGAGATGGAGATTTGTGATTTCAAACAGAACTTAATCAATTCATTTGTCTCTCTTTACAGCGTTGTGTGAAAAAGGAAAAGAAAAATGAAGACAAATGAATCGTATCTTAAACTGAACCAAACTAACATTGTTGAAATAAAAAAAAAAATTATATAAAAAAAAAAGTGTGTGGCCTTTGTTTTTTTCCCATTTAAAAAAAAAATTATAGAGTGGGAATGGGGGTTGAGGGAAAAGGGCTAGCACAGAGTAGTGGAAACAGCAACAGGTGTTTGTTGTTGAGCAGCGTTGACACATACAGCTAAAAGAGCTGATTTAGATTTTGAAAATATACTTGAGTCATATTTTATATCTCATTGTCTTCATTCAGCTCTCTGTGACAAAACCAAAAATTAGAACTAAGATGAATGAAATGAATCTGCAGCTTAAGTAATGGACTTCCTTAAGAAAGTAAAGACAAACATGTGACTTGAAACATTAAAGTTTTTTTTCCAATCTAATAAATACATTGAAAGTGAGGATAGGGTTGGGGGAAAGGGATTGGTGTACGCAAGTGTGGGAAGGCAAATACTTTCATGCCAACCCCCATCCTCCAACGTTCATCCACCAGGCACGACATGAACCACAACAGAGAATATAAGTACTACAAGTGGGGGCAAAGTTAGTATCACGTCTTTTAATGTGAAGCACTTTGTGACATCTGCTCTTGCAAGTTGCTATATAAATAAACTTTACGAGTTGGAATAAATTATTCCTCTCAATTCTGCCAAATTAATTACAGACAGTCAGTACTTTGTCCACCTATTTGATTCTTGTCTGCTAGATGTGACATTTAATCTGTCAACAACGGGAGGATAGTTATTAATAGCCATCCAAACCACTAGTAAAACTATAAATCCGAAACCTTGGCAGATTAAACATCAAATCATGCGTGTTGGTTTCCTTTGTTTGTCCACCTTTCTCGGCTACTCTCAGCTTGATACTTGTGACTTTTTAACAGATAGCAGAAAGGCACTGTTAATTGTTAAAACCAAAAACGAGCTCTTAACAAAACTCTCGTAGCTACATATTCAATCATCTCGGCGATTCAGTTTGATTATGGTCCCACAAAACTTGTGAGCATCCTCATATCTGACATGTAAATAAATAACTTTCTCAATGGATAGCCTAACCATAGTTAAAATTCATTTCTGTCTTATCCTTTTAGTTGGTACAGAAAGATCAGGATCCAACCTTAGCCCTGCCAATTTAGAGCTATCTTATTGAAACAACTCAATAGTCTAGACTACCTTTTGCAATTAGATTAGGAACGCATGCCCCATTCTGTCTGGAGCCACTGGAGATACTTATTTTGATTTGGATAATAAAGGAGTGACATCACTCTTATCAGCAAGATCTACACACTTTGACGACATGCCATAGTCTGAATATGTCGTGAAAGTCTCCCGGCCACCGCATATAAGATCTTCGTTAAGAAGCCTATATTCTTCACCTTGACTGATGCTCAGACATTGGTCTGACCCCCTCTTCTGCAAATCAGCCAGGGAAGAGAACTCTGATCTTAACTCACAGACTGCCCTGCTCAGAACCTATCAAAGCTGTCTCCCCCTTTCCCTATGAGATCTATCTCACAGGAACCTAACATTCTCCGGTAAATCTTATTGAGTTACCCTGACGGCAGATTTTACAAAGAAAGTCCTCAAACTCTGATGGGTTTATTTGTTGGCCTGTAGTCATTGGGTTTTATTGTTGTATCTTTCTAAGAAACAATCCACTCTCTCTTTGAAGCCATGCTGTGATCAGTTGACAGATCAGGACTTAATCTGTGTTATACCTGAGAACAGACATGAAAAGAAACAGCTGGTTAAAGGAAGAAGGAGATATAAAAGATGCAGAGATACAGCTAATATAACGTCAATTGCACAATCACTACGAAAAAGACTGATCCAAAAACTTTGCTGTTGGAATTAGAAGGAGCAATACGGCTCTAGACCCCAAACCAGGAGACTGAACAGAGGGAAACGTCTTCCTGGTTACTCACAACCAACTAAAGCAAATCAAGATTAGGGTTACCCAGAGTCAAGTGCATACAACCATTGATCAGTTCTCTCAGCGATGTCAGAGCCCTTTGAAGCAGTGGGACAGCTTGGTTGTTTGTATATCACTCATCCATCCATCCATATATTAATATGGAACAATTGCATGAATGCAGCCCAGTAGGAGTAGACGGAGCTCCCCCAACCTTCAGTGAGGTGACCTGGCACTACTACCACCCGACTTCCCCGACACCCAGTCACTACCATCGGACCGTGTCGTCCCTCAACCACCACCCGATGCCCAGCCTCCACCATCGGACTAACCCTAACCCTTATTTTAAAGATATTTACTTGTATACCACATGTAATGTTACTGTTCTGGTTAATGATCGTAAAACCAACCTGAAGGCGTACCTTCAAATGCTAAAGTTAAAGAATGTCATATTGTGTTTAGATACTGCTCTGATTTTAATAGTTATTCTTGTTAGTTAGCTTAACATCTGAAATGTGAATTCCTAAAGTTCCTCTATGATTCAAAAAATCAATTCAGACTGATCGAGAGGGAGCAATCTCATAACTTGACATGCCTCATCTCTCCAACGTTATGTTAAGACTTCAGAAACCCCTGAACCTGAGGGGACCAGAGCCTTCTCATAAGCCGACCCTCCCTGGTTGGAATTCACTTCTCCTAACTATTCAAGACTTCACAGGCCCATCCATAGTCTAATCACTGCTAAAACTCACCTTTCAAGAGAGCTTTGTGTGATTGTGCTGTGTTCTGTGGTGATTGGAGATTCTGTGTATTTTTCCTGTCTGCTTTTGGTTTGGTGCTTGTGTTTTTTTCTTTCAGAGGCTGGGTGTGGCTTATTGGCTGCTGGAGTTCTCTGCAATCACTCACCTGTTTGTCATCTGTAAATCACCGGCTGCAGCATTTATACCCTGGTTTCACCGCCCTCCCAAGATGCCAGATTATTTCCGCCTACAACGGGTAGATTGGCGGTTTCAGTATCAGTAAGACTTTTTGTGCTTTGGATTACCTGTCACTAATTATTCCCTTGTCTTATTTTTCCCCAGTGCCTCCAACCAATGAGCTCCAGCCTCCATTCAAGCCTCACCAGCCTTCACCAGCCTCACTTCAATAAATACCCCTTTAAACCACTACCCTGTTTTCTGGTCCTGCTTCTGGGTCCACTTAAAAACCTTTGAGATCATATCAGTGTTCACTCTTATGTGTTGTTTAAATGTTGTTGTTTATCTGATGTGTGTTAATATTGCTGGCTAAAGTGTATTACAGTATTAATTTGCTTTAGGCCTTACTACATCTGTGTGCAACAGTCCATTAACATAAACCCCATCCCCACTCTTAATGTATTTATGAGATTGGAAAAAACGAAGGCCACACCTTTAATGTTTCAAGTCACAAATTCTTTATATCCACAATTTCAGTTTAGTTCAGTAAAAGATATGATGTCAGTCGTCTTCATCTCAAACATCTTTTCCTTTTCACACAACGCGTGTAAAGTGAAAGAAAAATGAATTGATTAAATTCTGTCTGAAATCACACTTCTACATTTATTTAATCAGACATGTTTGAAGGTTACTCACTATCCTCGGGTCATAGATGAAGTCTGTTCTCCTGTGAAACCAAGACACCTCGCCTGCTTCATGGCATGTACCAGTTCGTGTGCTTGATATGATTTTCTTTAGCTGGAAACAGAAATGTAAAATAGATTAAAATGAAGAAATTTTCACATATCAAAGAAGTTATGATGAATCTGGTTGTTCCTACCCATCAAGTAAAATGCCCGATAGCTTTCGACCTCTGCAATGGTTTGGGTTCAGTGATGTTCATAATGTGGATTAAATTATTGTTGGTTCTGCTGTCGACAGTGTAGAGCAGACATCCCTCACAGGTTGGCAGGGAATGGTACGTGCAGGTGAAGCTGGACTCTAAAAGAAAAAAAGAAAAAAAAAACATTTACATCTGAAGCAGACATTGCTCCCAGACTCAAATGAAGGTGGATTACATTTACTTGACCAGAAGAGATTCACTGATTAACAGAACTAACATTGACAAGCTCCATAATCAAAGCAGATCAGGTGACTTACTGTCAGTAGCTGCAAGGTTGGAATGAACAGTTACAGGGTGTGATCCATACTTGCAATATGTAGGACTGAGAAGAAATAAAGGAGAAAAGACAAGTTCAGACATGTCATTGTAAAAGGGAATATGTAAAAAAAAAAAAAGGAAGGCTTAAAGTAACAGTTATGAGTCTGTTCTCAACAGAACATCTTCACCAAATCAATGTAAAAATCTATCCCCCAAGAGGTAAATTGATGTGCCTTAAAGGATGCATCCCAGGTGTTGTTTGGTAACATCTGTAGAGCAGTTAATCTGGTTGGGATGATTAAGAATTCAGCATGGAGTAGTATAGACACAAGAATGTGACCAACGTTTGTTAAATGTGTTTTAGGGGGATTCTTTTCTCTATGTTTATCCATTTACATGAAATATTGATATATTTGCACTGCTGATACTCACTGCCTGATCCCAATTATCCTGAACAAATTGCTTGTCATTTGGTGATGTCTTAATGAAGTCAATCCACTGGCTCTTGGTTGTCTTGAACAACTCTCTGTGTGGTTCACTAGTAATCCCAGCCATGATGAAGATCCACCTTCCGTAACTCTGCCGACAAACATAAATTCAATAAGGAACAAACCTTTATCAGGCGTAGAACTGGGTATCAAAAGCTGACTCAAGATTGTAATATTTCAGCTCATGATTCAAATCATATATTCATCTTCAATATTACCCTAGCCATTCTAAACAAGGCCAAATATTTTCTAAATGTTTGCAGAAAATCATATTTAGATTTCCTCAATTTTGTTTTTTTAATTGAGCAGTAGTTTGCAGTTACTTAAAC